GAATCCTCATAGTAGCACTGAACGAAATTCTCCCTTTACAGCGGTTTCTAATTACTCTGCGGTCTCACCATATCACAGACAGGAAAATGGGCGGTCATACTCGAAGACTTCTCACTGCTATCTGCAGTATACGCGACGAATTGTGCGTCCTTTTTGAAATTTCGCCAACCGTCGTCTGCTGCTAACCTGTAGACGAAAATGACGGCCTACCGAGTTTGATAGTCCGAACGGAAGAGGTGGATGTTTGCGTTGTTCAAGAACACTCTTCGCTTAGGATGAAATTTTTCTATTTTTTTTTTGCAGTATGAATGCTGTTTAACACAAAGGTGCTGAATAGACCTATTGTACTAACATTGCTCTTTTCAAGCATTTCAAAATCTTAGTGGTATTGTTTTCTGATTCTTGGTACCTTTGCTGGATGTCCGTTTCTTATTGTTGCCATTCCGCTGGAGAGTTTCTGCGACTGAGAATACTGTTTCTGTTTTACTTTTGTAGTGACTACACAGGTCGATTTATGGGTAGCTTTTTTTGTGGTGTTTTCTGAAAAGTTCAAATTTGGAAGAAATGTTTTAGTGTTACGATATCAAAGCAGGTTGTACTATGGCGTCAAGCATACCAGATTTTTCCAAAATGACTGTAAGTTTTTTTTATCGTGACATATTACTTCTATACTTTTCTAAATCAAATTTGCTTTAGGACTATATTTCTCCACTAAAATATTTGTTCTTTTCGCTCACAATACTAGTTCTTTGTAGAAACTATTGAAGTTTTTAAGGGACTTCGTGACTTCAGCATAAACATTCTGGATGAAGAGTTTTTAGTTGACAGTTATGTTAAACGACTTAAAGTTATGTTTTCAGACCACACAACTAAGGGAACAGCTGAAGTCTCGTGGTCTTCCTGTTGGAGGTGCAAAGGCAGTCTTGGTTGAAAGGCTAACCGAAAGTTATGTAAATGAGGAAAAAATCCTGAATGCTGATGTCAGTATGCCAAAGGAGGGTTTAGGTAGCCTATATTTTGTTCGTTTCCTTGTGTATACGTACTCTTTACTTTGCAGTTTCTGATTCGGAACATGGTATTCTGTTAAAGATTTTCTGGCTTTATTCTACGTGGGGAGCGCTGTGCACAATAGCGTTTTTTTGTACTGTGGGCTCGTCTCACTTCGGTTTTTGTTGAAAGTTATAAGATTTGTTGTTCCTCCTGAGTACTTATCCTGCTGACGTCTCTAGTAGAGGGACCCTGGAATTGAGATGGGGGAAAGAAAATAATTTTCCCAATCTTTAAAAAAGAAAAGACTGCTTTAAACTGGAGAGTTTTTGACAAAGTCAAATATAGTACAGGGCGGGAACAAGCTATTAGGCGAAAAGTAATGATTTGTTGAATCGTTCTTCAGTCTGTTTCCTCACATAGAAGTTGTGTTTTCTTTTTTGGCTTTTAAATGTTTAGTATCAAAAGGAACCAATCTCATTTGTGCTTTACTACGTATTTGTATTTCTGACAGTGGTTTGCTCCAGTCAGGTTAAGGATGCAAACGCTAATGTATTAGGTTAGCAAGGAAGTTGTAATTGTTCTAGGTTATCTGACAAGGGGTATCTTTTTTGGGAGCTGACTTTTGTTTCGTGCTTTTTTTACTGCTTAATTTAATTCGTGTTAGTTTTTAGGTCATTAAAGTAGGATGTAAGGTTGAGAAAATTAGGTGTTTTCTGTACCTCTTCATTACAATTGGTCACCGTTTGAAGGCCGCAGAAGCTGCTTGTGAAATTCGTACTACTTGTGGAGAGGGTGCAGTAACTAATTGATATTTCAAGTTTGGAGAAGGGAATTTTATCCTCCAAGACGCATCTCGTTTGGGCAGTCCAGTTGAGGTTTGAAAGAGAGTGATTGAAGAAGCTTTTGCACGGAAGTTCGTTTTAAGGGACAAGGGAATTGGCGGAGAGTATGGGATGCTTGTGCGCTACTGTGGAGAAGCATCGTCATTGAAGGGAGGAAGTCCGCAAGTGTGGAACGTGGGTTCGGTATGTTCTAGCTGACAGCAACAGAAATTAATAGCTTTTTCGGCTTTAGGATTACAATGAGAGGCGAAGAGGAAGAGAGTGCTCGTTTTTGTCATTTTGACGTTCTGTTTTAGTGGCCTGAACGTTAATACAAATTACTCGCTGCGAGGAAGTAAAAGATTGATTTTGGTAAAAACAGAATATCGCTTTTTAGTGATCTAGAATATTTTTTTAAAAAAACATATAATGACATATTGGACGTCGAAATTAAAAAATACTGCGGGCGCATAGCTGTCAGTCTGCTATCTAATTGTCCAATAAGTTGAAGGGCTAAGTGTCACGCATAGCGGATTTTTATGTTAATTTTGGAGGCAGCTTGTATCTGTTGCAGCTGATCAGAAGATTAATGTGGCTTACTGCTGTTAAGGCTAATTGAAGGATTTAAGAGCATGATAAACTTGAAATGGAAGTCTGAAATTTTGGCTAAAAGATCTGATATATCTGCTATGAAAACTGACGTCAGCACTGAAATTTTTTGAGGACGTATAAATAAGATGTCTGCAATTAACATTGAACACTTGAAAAACGGAGGAGTTCCGCATAGCTTTTTTGAACTGAAGTTGCTTTTCAGAACTTTAAAAGTACCCCGCAGTCGTCCAGAAATTCTAATGTTTGGGAAGAGAAGCATCATGAAAAGGAATATTTTTACAGTAAGATAAAAAATCACTATTAAGGCGAACGAGTTAAAAATTGCGTTTATAGTTTTTTTATTTTAATTTCTCTAGTTTAGAAACTGGTCTTCACCATGTACACACTTTCTTATTCTTTTATTTCTTGGGTTTGTAACCTTAGCAGTTCAATTCTCACCAGAGTAATTTTTCAACTTTATTTGGTTTAGATGAGGATTTGGATGTGTCTGTGAATGAAGAGGATGTCCTGGGCCCAGGGACTCCTAATAAAAAGTCGAAGGTGCAATTTTTCAATTCTTTGAAGATTTTTTCACTTTTTACAGCAATATGACTCAAAAATAGTTTTATGTAAAATTATTTGTGGCTGTAATATACCAAACAAGTCCTTTTCTTAAATCACTAGGAATCATTAAAACTCAAATGGAAGATTCCTTAGTTTTTCTAGCAGTCGGAGGCCCCAGAAGCTTTGAACGCTACACCAGAAAACTCGTTGAAGGTTGAAGGAACAGTTGAGCAGGTGAAAAAGGATGACGATGATGTTAAGAAACCTGTTGACCTCAAAAAAGTAAGAGCGGAACGGTTTGGTCTTCCGCCTTCAGAGGAAGAAAAGAAACAAATCCGTGCTGAAAGGTGCTTGTTTTTTAGCGGCTGTTCTTTTTTTACTTGAGGTTTTTAATGAATTTTTCAGTGAAAACCTTTTAGGTTTGGTTTACTGGCTGATACTTCTGGTTCGGGGGATAGCGAGGAGGAGAAAAAACGTAAAAGAGCCGAAAGGTAAGTTGGTTGACTCACAAATTATTTTCTCTGTCAAACTACGGTTCTCCATATAGGGGAATAAAACGGATTTCTTGCCATTAGGTGTAACTGTCTTTTGTATAGGTGACTTATAATTTAGGCTCTTCATAGGATCATTTAACTGCTTTGGGCGGAATCTTTTAATTAATCTTTTTAATTCTTTAACGTTCCACAGGTTTGGCTTAAATGGGAATTCGAATAATTCAGTTGGAGCTCCGAAACTTGCAGAGAGTGAAGAAAACATTTTAAGAAAGCGAGCGGAAAGGTTTCTTAAGCAATGAGTTTGTTTTATGTAGAGAGCAGCTTCCAAAACTTTATTGCGGATTTTTGTTTTACAGGTTTGGACTTCAACTGAAAGACGGTGCACAAGGCAGGAAGAACAAAAATTTTGGTACGGTTGATGCTCCGTCTGCTGAAATTTTAGAGCGCAGAGCTAAACGGTTCGGTATATGTAATGAAAAAGTTGAGGTAGAGTTTTTTAGAGCCGTTCTTTAGTATTTTTATAGAGTAGTATGCAGTATTGCTGCACTGTCTGATAAGTGACGTTTCAGATGGAAATTAAAAAGCAGAAGAGAGCAGAACGTTTTGGCCTCAACAGGACGTGAAAGCCAATTTGGTTTTTGCATCTCTTACTCTCGTTGGTATCTCACAATTTTCATGTACTTCGGTTTTTTTGTCTGTATTAGTTCATAGTACTTGTTGGGGATGACCTACGACCTCAGGCGTTTTTTTGGTTTATTCTTAACCTTCAACTTGTTCTTGATTCGTTGATCATCCTGCATTCAAAATTGTTTGGAAGTTAGGTGGGGATAGATGCAAGTTCTTCAGCAGATGCTCGTACCTCATTTACTTGACTGGTATCGTTAAGGTAGTTTAATTCTGGTTTTTAATTATTGTTGACAATATTTCTTATTTAGAAATATTTTTTGTTGCAGAGCAGAAATTTTGCTTGCATTCTGATCTCAGATTTTTGTACCTTTTTATGACATTTTGTGTTGTTCTTCGTGGTGTTATGCGTCTTATTTTGAATTTGAGGGTCATAGGCCTTAGTTATTATAATAGGTTGAATGATTTGGTAAATTTGAGGGATTGCTGACAAGGGAGTGATTTTTATTATTTTCGTTAAGTGTTGATTTTGTTTGATTCAGTCCTTATAATGAGGTGTCTGACATCAACGGAAGAGGCAGCCTAAATAATCTGGTTTATAATGGTTTTTATTCTACTTTAACTCATAACGTTGTGATTTTAATGGTATTGAAAAATCAATAAAGGATTATTTGCTCAGAGTTCTAACAGTTAGCTGGTTATTTGAATCAAGTGCCCACTTATTATCTGACATGACCGGCAAACTTGTGAGTGCTGAATTATTTGAGTTTTTTTGCGAGTTGCATTCAGGCTGATGGAGGCTGGCTTTGGAGATGATTTCCAAGAAGTTGCAGTTTTACAGAGCATTTATGGCGATGATCTGAAAGTGGACCGATCAAGCGATGAGAAGTGCTGTAGTTATTCGCGTTTTTTGTCAGATGTGATTTTATGCAGCTCTTTTTAATAGCGTTTGTTTTGCTTTGCTTCGGCAACACAAGCCTTTTTTAGAGGCGCACTTTTAACCGTGGAAATGAAAGTACAACCGCTGCAGATTGGTAGCAGTTCAACGGCGAGCGTGCACGTAAAATTTACTCTGAGTGCAGAAGTAGGCGTTATGGGATTGTTAGAAGGGCTATCGCTTCTACTGGTTTTTGTTTTCAAGAAATGTTTGAGGGTTTGGAAGTTCGGTACGTTATCACTGTTTAGTCTTTTTTACAGTACCCTGTAATTCCACCAAAAGTGCATCTCCTTCAGCCTCGAGGCATTGGTGACGAAAATCTAGACGTTTTGAAGAAGAATATTGAAAAACATTTAGATGGCCATCGTGGAGTTGAAGTCATGTATGATCTTCTACAGGTAAGGTCACCCTTCACTAAGTTTACGGTATAGTTGTTTTTTCACCTTTTATGCGACTTTCTTCTTTTACTCTATCAGTTTAGCTAACGCAAACCTTTATTGAAAACGTCCAGACTGCGCCAAGTACAATTTGTCCTATATGTTTGGAAAAGTTTTTACCTGACACCTCTTCTATATGTACATCTTGCGAGCATTATATTCATGCCAGTTGCTTTGCAAAATATCTAGATTACAGCAGGAATAAAATAAAAGAAGAGCTGAAGGAATGGCCTGAAGACATGAAGTACAAGGTTGACCAGGTGCATCTGATTATATCTATCTCTATG